TATAAAGGTAAACATGATAAGGAGTAGCAGTGTATTTTAATGACAAAGTAAACAATGAAATGTTGTATAAAGGTAAACATGATAAGGAGTAGCAGTGTATTTTAATGACAATGTAAACAACGAAATTTTGCATAAAGGTAAACATGATAAGGAGTAGCAGTGTATTTTAATGACAAAGTAAACAATGAAATGTTGTATAAAGGTAAACATGATAAGGAGTAGCAGTGTATTTTAATGACAATGTAAACAACGAAATTTTGCATAAAGGTAAACATGATAAGGAGTAGCAGTGTATTTTAATGACAATGTAAACAACGAAATTTTGCACAACATTTCATTGTTTACTTTGTCATTAAAATACACTGCTACTCCTTATCATGTTTACCTTTATACAACATTTCATTGTTTACTTTGTCATTAAAATACACTGCTACTCCTTATCATGTTTACCTTTATACAACATTTCATTGTTTACTTTGTCATTAAAATACACTGCTACTCCTTATCATGTTTACCTTTATACAACATTTCATTGTGGTTTACATTGTTATTAAACATAAAGGTAAACATGATAAGGAGTAGCAGTGTATTTTAATGACAAAGTAAACAATGAAATGTTGTTTAATGAGAAAATGAAAATCGATTAGGTGTTGTTTAATGATAACGTAAACAGCATACAATATAGTTTAATAACAAAGTAAGTAGCACAGAATATAATGTAATGACAACATAAGAACAGCGGTTATATGTAGTTTAGATAAGAAAAAAGATAAGCAACAACTGGATGTTGTTTAATAACAATGTAAACCACAATGAAATGTAGATTAATAAGAGTGTAAACAACAATAAGGTGACAGCGTAAACATTAACGTGATTAAATATTATGTCAACTCAAACATTTATGATATTAAAACTTTAATACAAAGATAGGGAATGACGAGATGGACTTTCAATGACCAGGTAAGCAACAATATTTACTTAATGCCATTGATTGGATTTCACAAGTTAATTATTTATCCCAGTAGAGTCTCTTCGCTCTTTGGTAGAGTAAAATCCAATACCTCTGTAGGTCACTCACAGTTTCAGTTTCTACGGTAGGTCACTCGTCTTCTGATTCAGAATGGGTTTTCTAACATTTACTGCAAAAAGAGTCAAACAGTTGTAGTTGCAATTCTTCCAATGCTCGTAGTACGATACTGAAAACTCAAAACGGGCACATCACACGTTTTCATACAATGGCTGGCAGAACTATTGAGGTTGATGTTTAACATCGCAGTTTTTCTGAAAGACCTTCTGAGAGACAAAGAGAGAATGCGTATTCTTTGTCGTCGACACGAGTTGAAAGCACATAAGAAAGAAAGTCTCCCGACGTATCAGCGGTAAGTTTCCAGGTTTACAATACTAAAACCCGGGGCTCGATTCCCTGTGGTTGACAGAGTGCAGATAACCCATTCTGTAGCGTTGCGCTAAAAAAAACAACAACTTTCCTCTGAAAGAAATAGTACCCAAAGAGGGTATAAATACATTAATACAAAACGAAACAATATTTAAATATGTAATAATAAAAGGGCGTGTCTGTGTGTGACTGCCATAGCTTCAAGAGCAAAGAACCTAGAAACTTGAAATTTCGCAAACATACTAAGTGGAACCCGAGGGTATACATTTGGGTATTATTACTTAGCTACGTGCGTACGCACATGCGCATCTTTTTATGCAAAAAGCCACATAGAAAAGAAATGTGACCGCCATAGCTCCAAGAGGAAATAGCCTAGAAACCTGATATTTTGCACCCATACTAAGTGGACTTTGAGGGTATGCACCCAGGTATTATTACTTATCTTATCCACGTGCGTGCGCGCATGCAAATGTTTTTAATGAGGCAAACTAGCGAAAAACCACATAGAAAAGAAGTGGTTCGTTATATTACAAATAGAAATCACAGAGAGAAAGCACGTGTTGCGTGTGCGCACATTCGTGTCTGTGTATGTGTGACCGCCGTAGCTCCAAGAGTAACGAACGTAGAAGCCTAAGATTTTGCACCCATACTAAGTGGACCCTGCGGTTTTGCACCTTGGTATTATTACCTATCTTATCCACATGCGTGCGCGCATGCAAATGTTTTTAATGAGGCAAACTAGCGAAAAACCACATAGAAAAGAAGTGGTTCCTTATATTACAAATAGAAATCACAGACAGACATACATGCTCTTTTATTATAATTTGTTTGTTTTTTATTAAGCACAAAGCTACACAATTGGCTATCTGTGTTCTGCTGTGCCACTGGGGGGGGGGGGGCTTTTATTATAGATGTGTAGCCCGTCAAAAATGACGACGCAAGTACCACAACCTCATAATATACACGGTAGTATATAGTTTTGGTAACAATTGCCTTCCAACAATGGTTTTTATGCCATGTTGCTTAGCAATAAAACTGAGTATTTCGACTGCACTAGCAAAACATCATCAGGATAACACAGGAGAGCTAATATTTGCTTTGATCAGGAAGGAGCAAATAAATAATTAATTTATTAAAAAGATCACTTTAAATTAAGTTTAATAAACAGTTTGTATAAGAATATTTTAAAGAAACGTAAAAACAAATATGGAAGTAAAAAGAAAATGTCACATGAAACAGTTAAGAAAATAAGCCTTACTCTGTTTAATGGCAAAGATGTTTCAGATAAAAATCAAGGCAGGGTAGTTATGAAATTCCATACTGTGTATGTAAAAAGTAGTTTATATTGGTCACAGGAGCATTATTTCACAAAAGGGTTGGGGTAGGGGGCAATGAAAACTGACTTTGCGTGAGACCTACAATTCAGCTAAGGGCCCTAAATGACGTAATTTGTGTATATGTGTTAACACGGGCTGACTAAAAACGTTTCACAGAAACTGCCATTTGGGTCTCCTTCCCTCCAGGGCTTGGGGGAAGCCGACCATTTAAACCCCCCTCAGATGATGGTATTGTTGTACAGACAAAACGTCCGTGACAGTCAAAATACTATAAAGAAAAGAAGAAACAAAAATGGCGGTTGCTTCACATCTTTATAACACAGGGCATTCAGTTAATTGGGATGAATCCAAAAGATTGTGGAACCAAAATTTTATGAGCATTGTAATATTCATGAATGTACTGAAATAAAAAACAACAACAGAATATGAATAGTTTTGAATATTGCCTACATCCGTATAATGTTACGAAATCATTATTTTCCTCTCATTTCTTGGTTTAATATATTAATGAAAAGTACGTACAGTTTTAAGTAGTTAAAGTGAACATGCAACAATAGGTCAACAGCAATATATGTACTATATCCAATGTCGACGACGGTGAGATACGACAGAGAGAAAGAGTAGTGGTTGAAACATTTATATTATCAAATTTCGTAAGTAACAAGTGTTATGGTGTGAACTAGATTAAGTTGATGAAGTGTAAATTTTTGTCAGTTTTATATTAGGCATTTACAAATCAGAATACGGAAAAGGATTTATAACACAATATTATTTATCTATTTTAGTAGTAGTATTATATATTTTTACTTGAATTAACTTTTACTTATCATTCAGAAGAAATGGCGAACCAGTAAACTAGTCTTATTGTTTCTAGAATGGTTCAAGTAACCACAGCACAGAAGGATACATTAGTAATTCTAATCAAATTTAGCATGAAGTTCTTATCCAATTTTGCATTAACCTGCCCTAACTGATTTTCTTTTTAAAAATATAAATAACAGTGTTTTAGAGGTACGCCGGACAAGCATGCCCAGACTGTGAATACTACGATTCATGGCCTTTTACCACATAAATGTCCTCCGTTTTGTGGAGCTTTGAGGGTTTTATAACAGTGACGGTAAAACCCATATTCAACCGCACCCAAAAGTTGACAGTGTGTGCTATTGACTATCTGCTTTCCCTTTCGTCCATCAGTTCAGTATTAGGAACAGTTACGTGCAGATACCCTTGTTTACTTTTGCACGAAATCCTGAAACAGACATGGTGTTTTAGACAGATATAAGTTCTGAAAGAGACATTTTGTTTTCAAACTAGGACAAAGACATCTTCAGAGTAAGCCAGACTACTCGATGGGCTATTTTCTCTTGTAACAATACTCGCCATATTGCTACTTGGACGACTTCTGAAGGTTTCACGTTCCTTGATACTTCGCAAGACAAATCCAAATACGAGAGATTAGACTTTCAAGGCCGGCTTCTCCGAGTTGGCACTCTAAAGGTACGGTTCACTGTGAAATGTGATATTATGTTTTTTTTATTGACTAGCCTCGCAATTGCTCTCCATTTGTATTTATATATAAAAAACCACCAACCAACAACAAAAAACAAACGTTTAACTCGGAAAGAAGGTTCTATTATTATTGAATCATCATGTTGAAAGATACGGGTAGCTTGTAGGTAGAACTTTGGTTAACGTGAAAATAACAAAATATTTTTTTTCCTAACAAATATGGCGATATAATAAATAAGCATAAAAACAACTTAACTAAATTTTATACTATCAGATATATTAAATATAGGGCCCTTTTTGAGGGCCTATATTTCCTTTACTTACACATACTACTTAACTATTGGTAAGGATGAAGGTTCCTAATAAAGATGAGTTTCAAATTGTGCAGGTTATTGAATGACTGATTGTGTTCAGATACAATATAACTTATGGAAAGTAATGCATAAAAAAAAGAAACTTCATAAAGTCTTTGATAAGACTGATAACAACCGAAAAAGAAAGAGTTTTGTGAAAATTCAGCTATGAACAGATGTTTAAAGAATCCCTTCCAGTGCATTTGCACACAATCAATACCGTATATGTTTGGCAAGAGACACAATGACTCTTATACATCACACTAATTAGATGTCATGCATGTTTTTATGAAAGCTGATCCCATTATTGTGTAAGGAGGTAGTGAAGCTCCTGTACAATTTTGGGTTGCACTGGATGGAATGCTGTCACCCTCTGTAGTATGTTCAAAGCATGCTCAATATGGTTCATGTCAGGAGATCTCGTCCAAATTCTCGATTGCTTCCTGTTCAAAAAAGGTAGTGGTAATCCTTGGTCGATGTGGGTGGATATTATTAGCAACCAAAATTAAGTTTGGCCCAACTGTATATGGTCTCATTGTCTTATGGAGAATCACTTCTTGGTACCTAACAGCAGTGAGGGTGTTGTTTTGGGTGACATGGAGGTTCATTCTTCTTTGTATGTTGATTTCAGCTCACACCATCACAAATCATTAAAAACACTTTTTTTTTTCAAATGAGTGTGATAATAAAACAGTTAAAGTAATGAAGGAAACAAAATTCATTAAATCGGGGGACCTTTGGACAGCTTAGGGCTCTAAGCAATTGATTAGTTTGCTTATGCTTAACATCATCACTGAGTCCAAGCTAGTAAGCACCACATTGCTGTGTACTGGAAAATGTTCGAGGTCAATAGTTATGGTTCCTATTCTAGTATGGCACATTTATCTTAAATTGTTAGCATTATGACATAATAATTTTATTGAAGAAATATAGTTTTAAGTCAAATGATCGTTTTATTTTTACCTACAATGCATGGTGTTTTATTTCTCCAGAAAATTCCTCATATTACGTATCATGTTCGAAAGGATGAGAATGTTATTGGAGATGAGGGTATAGAAAACAGCCTCCTGAACACCATTGCAGAACATCTGAATTTCAGGTTGGATATAATTCTACTTTGTATCCTACAATCCACATCATGAACTAAGATGCTTAGAATGACACATTTGCTAACATATTTCCAATTCTTTTTACCTGAACCACAGGAGGTAGAAGAATGTTATATGTATGGTGTTTGGAGTTGTATTTTACTCATCACAACAAATCTATGTTTATAAAGTATTTGAAAAATATGTAGCATTTATACTACAAGTTTGATTTTCTAAATTTTTCAGCAGACAAGCTGTTTAGAAGGTTAATTTTCACAAACACACCATTTCAATAATATGTACATCATAATTTATAATTAGAAGTTGGGTGAATTTGTGCTTTCATCAAAGATTTTGACAAGTTGTGGAAATAATTTATCTTGGCAGCTTTAACATCTACAACATCAATTTATGTATTAAGCAATGTATGAAAGTTCAGAAACGGTCATAACAAATAATCTGAAAAATATATTGTAAAAAGACCCAAGATAAAAAGAGAAACAGTATGATCCTTATTTGGAAGGAGAAAGTAATATGTATCCTTCATATCTTTTGTTTAGACTATAAAATATCTTAAAATAAAATGCGTTCCATTGATTTGAATACTTGGTTATTTTTATTTAAAATATAATATAATATAAGAGCTATATTATCAATATCCTTATAAAGCACATTTCTGCACTTAAATTATCAACTCATTTTTGGTTAACAATATTCTTCGATTGTCAACAATTATTGACTCACTTATGTTTGACATAGCTTGGAATGTTAGATTCATTACATAAGCTATCAACTCACTTGTTTTTAACAATATCCCTCTTGTTTCAGATTCAGTACATAAGCTTGTTAGTACCCTTACAGTGTTAGACTCAGTATACATAAATATCAACTCAACTGTAATTAGCAATACTTTTCCAGCGTTAATTCAGCAAGGGACAACTTTAGTTTCACAAGTAGGCAACAAAGAAGGGTTGCTATAACAATATATATATATATATATATACAGCGTGGTTACAAGTAAATAGACACCACCTTTTTAGAAAAAAAAATGAAATTTTTTCAGTCATATTCACATGAATTG